TTCTCTCTCTCTCTCTCTTTTCTCTCTCTTTCTCTCTTAAAAAAATTGTAGTGGGTTGTACCCCGTGTATATATAATAGGTCAAAATACACCCTACTGTCATGTATACATAAAAACAACAAATAAAAATAGATCAATATTTTAAAATCCAATCATATATGTGAACCTTATAATTTAAATAGTATCAAATTTATACTTACAATGACTTAGGAAAGATAGAAGGTAAATATTCATCTTATCAAATGGATAAATATTAGTCATATCAAACACCTATCTCAAAAGCAGGTAAGCATAATTACTGAAATCAGGATTTAAAAAATATAAAGAAAATGTCTTTAATATGAAATAAAAATTCCTTTAAATGCTTGCTCATATACTGCAACAGGAAAGAGTATTTTAACCTAATAAAATGGGAATAAGTAACAATACTTGGATTTTGGTTCAGTGAATAGTAATATGTAAATATAAAAGTTTAACAGAATCACTTGCACTATGTATTCTTAGTATATTTCCAAATTAGAGTAGAAGTTATTATGTGGATAAAAAAATTAGGAATTTTAATAAGAATAAAATTTGTGGGAAAATTCTCACAGAATTTAGATGTGGAGATGGAAATGCTTGTGGGCATCCAGTGGTACTTCTTAGGAAGGCACTACGTAAGACTAGAACAAAGATTGGTCCATGCGGTAATAAGGAAAACACTCAGCATTAAATGCAGACCTCTAACTATGACCAGAAAGCCCCACATCTTGTATCCTGGGCCACTCTTTGCAACTCTCCTCTTCATGGAAAAGAGCCACTCACTCTAGACTTCTTGCTGTCTTTCAAACACACCAGAATACTCCTGTTAAAAGGTTTTTGAATTTGCTGTTCTCCCAGAATGTTCTGACCTTTGCCATCCCATCTTGATGTATATGGCACCTCTTCTCATTCTGGTTCTCAGTTTGTAGACCACTTACTTCCTTTGAGAAGCCTTCCCTGACCAACAAACACAAATGATGTAAACGGGACCCTTAAGTCACTGTCAATGTTATGACTTTGATTTCCCCCACAACACATAAAAGTATATGAAATAAACTGCCCTATTTATTATAGTTCTTTTTTCTAGATGACATGCTCAATGAAAACATAGGCCTTGTCTTATTATGCCATAATATCCAGGGACTAAACAGTGATGACAACAAAAAATATTTGTATGAAAAATGTTAAATAAATGAAAATGTAAACAAGCATTTGAAGTTAGTAGTTCTTAAGTAGTAATTGAGGTCATGGCATGAACTGGATTGGGGTAAAGAACAAGTAACTACAGTGAGCAGGCACAGAAAAGAATACCTTGACAACACTATTATCTCCTTTTTTAGCCTCTTTGGGGATAGAAACTGGTCCTTTAGACTGAAAATTACTGGTGAACCAATTAGTAAATATTCACCTTGAGTCAAAAATGGATGTTTATTTTCTTCTAACTTTATAACTGCTTATAATTAAATCAAATATAAGAAGCCCCTTTTTGAAGTTTACAACTATATAGGAACATACCAGCAAGAGTATTTGGATTGATCTAGAGTCCAACCATTGTAACATATTACCAATAAAATAAATAATCAAATAAAAAGTATTGAATTTGGTCTTTCAAAAAGTGAGAGAACAGAAAGGTATTAATGATTACTACTTTATATAGCAACTCAGCATTGGCTCAGTAAATACAAAAGTTTTTTCTTGAATATTAAAAAGAATCCATTTTAGAATTAAAAATTGTAAAATAATGAGAAAAGTGAGTTGACAGTAATCATTTACTTTACATAGTTTACTTGTAGAGGAACCAGAATTTGTGTAATTAATGCAGTGAAGGGAAACAAGAGCTAATATTATAAACACTTTCTTTTGCTTTTGGCAAAATACCTTAATATCTTTAGGCCTCATATTCTTTTATTTGTAGAGCAAGGAGAGTAACAGATATTTAAAAGTTGCTTTTTTTAGTTCTACCTGTATTCTTTTAAAATCTCTGCACTGTGTTTATTAATATAAATGCTATGGGCAGGTAATCTGGAAATTTAAATAATTGACCACAAGGGGGAGAACTCTAATTCTACATTAAATCATTTAATACAATGAAATAATCTGAAAGTATCTTGCTGTGTAAAGTTGGTGCAAGGCTGTCTTATTTTTAGTTCCTCAGGGAATCTGAGGTACAGCACTGAAGAGATAGGTTTAATTTAATTGAAATGCAGTTTTATGTAACTAAAGTTACAAGAAAGTTACTGTATGTCAAGAGCTATTTGGATTAAGCAATAATTCTCCATGAAGAAATAGAAATGTTTCTTCTATTAATAAGGAGACAACAGTTTTTTTAGAATTTAGCCTGGGAGAGTTTTCCTTTCAAATATTATTTCAGTTATTCTTCAAGAAATCTGTAACCTTCCTGAAACTCATTAGTCAACTCTAAAGCAAGCATACATCAACAGGGCAGTCTATTACATAGTATCTACAAAAAAATGAAAAGATTTAGGGTGGGGCTGGCTACAAAGTTTGAATTTTCCATGTTCATGAACATGTATGAATATATGTTATAGTTCATTGTTATCTGAGTATTGAATACTGTATGTTCACAGTGTTATTTATTTTTATCTTTGGGTGTAAGGAAAGTATAACTTTGAGCTGAAAATTATGAGTTTTCATCAGGTTTAATGATTTATATTTTTAGGACTTATCAAACTAAGTTATATTTGTATGGTCCGAATGTAAGATTCTGATTTTTATCAAATATACTCAAACCATATACAGCTAAATAAGTCTCCTTTACACATTATTATAGTAAGCGATATAAATGTCTCAGTGCTACACCTGCTACAGAAAACAATGGGTGCTTTCCCTTAGAGGCAGGATGTTATGATTTAGACTTAGAATGTTCCCCAAAGTCTCCACAGACCAAAGGCTTGGTTATCAATGCAGGAAGTTTAGAGTAGGTCCTTTAGGGAATATTGAATCATGAGGGCACTAACCTTAACATTGGATTAATCCATTTGATGGATAATTGGGAGTTGGCAGAAACCGTAGGAGGTGGGGCCTACTTGGAGGGAGCAGGCCACTGAGGATATACCCTGGAAGGGTATATTTTATGTCCAGTCCCTTCCATATTCCCTTTATCTGCTTCTTAGCTTCCATTTGCTGAGAAACTTTCCTTTGATACTTCCTTCCTTCATGATGCTCTACCTCAGCTAAGGTTCAAAGGAATGGAGTCAACCAACCCTGGGCTGAAACCTCTGAAACTATGAGCCACAATAAAACTTCCCTCCTTCCACTTGTTTATGTCAGGTAGTTTGGTTACAGTGATGAAAGCTGACTAAAACCGTGTCACACTCTTTATTCAATGACAGTAGATCTTTCTTTGAGAGTGAGTGTGATATTTATAAACACACACATCTGCAAATGAAAGATTGAATGTTAAAACTACTAATCAAGTTGGAGCATATGTTAGTTGATGATTAAAACTGGATATAACTAAAATATTTAAGCTGTCTTTGGTTATAAACTTCTTTAATTCAGCTTTCATAAAAAAATCACAAAATGATTTTGGCATGGTCTTATTACTAGGTTATGTAGAAATCCTCCTAAAGTGACTATAATAAAGGGTAATTTTCATTTGAATAAATACCTAACTAATGGTGTTCATAGACTTGTAGTTTGTTCAGGACTCAGTGGGAAAAAGTCATTTCTAAGTCCACATAACATTAGCTGGGCTGACTTGAAATCTAAGATTAACTGGAAGACCAGAGTCTGAAATCACCCAAAGTCTACTCACATGTCCAGCGGGTAACACTGGCTCTAGGATGGGCCCTAACTAGGAATGTCAATTGAAAACTGCTTAGATTGCTCACAGTATAGTGTTCAGGCACTAGGAGCTAGTGAGCAAAGCAAAGGGCATGGCATTTTTATGACTCTACCTTGAGGGTCATGTGGAATAACTCCTGACATAATCTGTTGGCCAAGGCCTTCAAAAAGACTACCTGATTTCAAGGGAAGGGATGTAGAAGTCACAGCAAAAAAGGAGATCAGAAGAATGTAAAGGTTAAATTGTAAAGGGAGCCTGTGGGATTGGATACATGGGAGTATACAGTACCATGTACCTGAATTTCATATATATTAATCCAGAATTTTTATCCATAAACTATATTCTTATTCAGTTAGCAAACTTTAGAAAATCTGCTTCCAAACAAAATTCACCCCATCAAAGAAATTCTATCTGATGCAACAAACATTTAATTCATTTCCTATAGAAATTGCTTCATAGGGAGTAAATTGAGAAGATATCTTACATGGAATCATTTAGAAATAAAGTTTTGAAGTGGACAGGAATATATCGTTATGTATATCGTGCCCTGCCCCAGTGCATGAAAATGTCATGTAGAAAGAGGAGTGCTCAATAAATAATGTCACATGAAGGAATATAAAGCCATCTGATGATGTGTTTTCTAGACATTTCTAAAAAAAATATTGTGTTCTTTAGCCTTATAGTGATCCTAATATTATTGTTATATATATAGGCCAGAATACGTGAACTTTGGAACTGTTTTCAAAGATTACATTTTGTTTTCAGAATGCAGGAATCATATAGTGAGTACTCTTCTTGCTTATGCTCAGAAAGCCCTAATACTCCTACAGTAATAATCAAATCATATATCATATCATGATTAATTTTACACATTCTTGCCTCTAACTTTAGGTCGCAGGCAACTCAAGGGTTAGATTGTCCCCCTAAATATTCCATTGCCAGAGGATTGTACTTCTGCTACATGGTAAAGTCTGTTCACTAACTTTTGAGAGAATTAATGAGAATCTGAATTTATATTTTAAAAAAATTAGTTCCACAAAGTGATGGAATTTGAGAACTATGAATAAAAAATAATGTACTTAACTTAATATCAGAACAAATACACTCTTATATTTAGCTCAAAGTATTACCTCTGTGTACACTGCAGTGTTTTTTAAAATAGAGAAGGAAAATTCTAGAAATATTTTCCCCTTTATTTAAAGTAGCACAACATCCTCAAGAGATCAGACCACATCGTATCTCTCAGCTGTAGAAACGGGAAGGAGCAGGCCAGACCACCTCAGAATCCATGGTAACGTGAATAGGTTTATTATACATGTTCATGAATGTTTGTGGGTCCATAAATTGTTCACATTTCAACAGATACTTTATGATTTGTTCTGGAAGGAGTAGCTCAGGTGCAACTTGGTGCAAATTATCCCCTGGTCCCTTAGCACCCGCTTTCATAGCCTTAAACAGGTGAAGTGCTAGTTTATGAGTCTGGGTGAGGAAATCTGTGATGACCTCATTTAAGGACTGTGACTGTGTCACATCATCAAGATACATAACTGGCACTTTGATGACTGAAACGTGCCATTGCATGAAGAATCTCGTTGGGATGTTATGAGAAATGACTATAATTTTCATGTTTTGGACGAAATAGTCTGTTTCCTTTCTTTCATGGTCTAGATAATCTAAAAGAATTTGGTAGAGGGTATCACTGGAAGACTCAAGGATATGCAGAAGGGACGTGGGGTATATGAGCAATAATCCTGTCACTGCTTCTCCTGGGTGATGTTTCAAAATCGACTGAAATACTTGTTCATAGTATTCAGCAATTTCTTTTTTCTCCAGGTTTGCTTGTGTGTTGGCCACTAGAAACATCCTATGAAGGAGGAATTTCTTTAGCTGTAGTCTTTGTTTCTCTTCCAGAAGGTGCAAATAGTTGCCGCGGGGTACTTGTGGCATTAGAGCTTGTAAGGGTAAAGTCCTTTTGCGGCCCTTCTGACTGTGGGCCAGGTTGGCCATGATGAATTCTATTTATTCTTCTAGATGATTTCAGATTTTAGTTTATCACATCATCAGGAGATATCTTTAGTGATGAACTCTTACTTTTATTTCTTCTGACCAAAAAAAAAAAAAAAAAAGAGTAATTGTTTTTCAAATGTTCAAATGTTACTGAATAGAATAATCCCTTCCCAGGGCTATCAATTAAGAATGTCTTTGAAATGAAAGAGAAAGTCAGGAGACTTACACTTTAGAGATTGGTTTTAAGTTTGCAATGAAATAGCTATTATATATCCTAAGAAGAAAACGTTGCCAATGGAATGGTGACTACACATTGTTGTGTTTTTTGTTTTTTTGTCAATTAAAAAAAAATGGTATATTTATTATTCTTCCAATTTCTTTTATAAATTTAACAGTCTATAGCTTTAAAATAAAATCTGGGGCACTCTAAATCCAAGTTAACTTATTTAATATTTACTTGAAACACTAAAAGTTAAGTGTTTATTGGATAAAAAATGATACACTTTTCAAGTAGTGAGTGTTGATCTTCTCCTATCAATAAAATTACTCTTGTTTGTTATCATTCTTAAGGTTTAAATAAAAATATTTTGATAGTTTGACTTAATCTTCTTAGAAATCCCCTGCTCTCCAAGGTAAACATTTCTTTCTTCTTTCAAGTGCTCTGCACGTACCTGCCCCATGTCCTGCTTGCCTGTCCTCCATCATTCCACCAACTGCCAGCGCTCTGTGCGCTCAGCCCTCCTGGGTTCTGACTGCCACAGGGTATTGATGAGTTGGAATGCCGGTGGCATTAAAGGGCCAGAGTGCTCATGCAAGTCCCATCTCCTCATTTAATGAGAGCAGGCCACTGTAGGGGAAGTGAGGGCTTCTTTGCCCAAATGACTTACTGTTAGCCAGGTACATTTGTAAGTCAGAGGTGGTGGACCTGACTTTTTTTCTTCCTTTTCATTTGGGTCAATAAAAAGTGTGGTTGTAGAGTTTCTCTGTTATACTAATTAAATACTGAAATAACACATATCTGGATCAGTGTGATGGTGAATCTGTTATGAGAAAGTGCAACAATTGCATTTGGGTTTCTTAATTTAATGTGAATTGAAGTTAATTTTTAGAATAAAAATTAATAATATCATCTATAAACATCATATTCACACAACCTCTAAACAACAATTTGAAAGCAACAAAGTTAGCAATCACTCTTATTTAATTAAAAAATTAAAACAGAGTGCTTTTTTTCTCATGAGGTTGCATTACTCAAACTAATGATTAAATTTTAATAATGTACAGTAATGAATTATCCCTGAAAGTGGAGGCTGAGAGGTGAGCTAATAATTTTTTAATTGTGTGATACATAAAAATCTACTGTAATTCCTCACTTCATCATTTCCCGAAACAACACAATCTTTCCCAAGTTGTTAACTTTGTCATTTCCTAGTATTGGGATTGTCATCATTCTCAGTCTTCTTACAGCTTTGCACAATGCTCTTCTGTTGATCACAATCTACACTATGATCTTCTCTCTTCCTCTGATTTTCATGACACTGTACTGCCCTGAATTTTGGTGTATCCCAATTCCTTTTCACATCTTGCCATGGGCAATACTGAGTCTCTGTGTTCATGCAAATCTCCCACTCTACTTCCTTGCTCTTAGTTCAGCATTATCTATACTTCTGTTTTGTAAGGATATTTGGGTAGTTCTTGTTGCTTCTCTTGACTCTAGATTTCATGATTGACAATGTTGATTGACCACTGATCTTTCCTACTGAGCTCAGCTGTGGACTGGGAATCTTCATTCTAAAGACTCAAGGCAGGCATAACTAGTTGGCTAGGGTTGACAAAGATGAAAAAACTGAGCCCATTCCACAATCTTCTCTTCATAGAAGACTCCTAAATTATTTCCAGTTACTTATTTCTTATTTACAACTCCTCTTTCCTTAGGTGTGACTCTATTCTTTTGAATTTCAAATGCCAATATTCTACTATTTTCCTTATCAGTTCTGTTTACTTTATAAATACCCTACTAGTATTTGTATTAACTTTTTTTTTCCTCTTAGTTTTTGGGCAAAAATCTGCTGTCTGTTCTTCTCATTTTTCCTAAGTTATCTTCAAGTTTATTCTCTTTGAAATGCATTTTAGATTCTAGATTTTCATTACCTCCTTCAGAGTCCAGCTTTTTATTTGGATTATGATAAGAGTCTTCCGCCCTTAATATTTCTCCATCCCCAAAATTCAGCCAAAAGTATGAAATTCATTTGCCTGATTATGTTAGAAATATACTAACTTTTTATTTTGCAAAATTCCTGCTGGTATGTCCCCTCCATAGAATGCCAAGAGAGGGAACATCTCCCTTCACCAGGTCTAGAGTGATTTCTGGCATTTATTTTCAAAACCCAGTGATGGATTAGACCAAAGAGTTGCTTAGTGCCTCATCATTGCTGAGGCTAGCTTTGAACTTGAGATCCTCCTGCCTCAGCCTCCTGAGCCGCTGGGATTACAGGTGCGGGCTACTGTGCCTGGTTTACCATGAATTTTTTTTTGTTGTTGTTGTTTTTGGGTTATTTCCTCCACAGTTGCCAAAAAGCTATCTTAAAGGTTGAAGGGGCACTTCTCTTATATTTTTGTCTTTCATGGATCATACTACCAACTACCCATAGTAAAGTTTGTGACCAGATAATAATAGAAATAGTGGTAGGTGTATTGGCACACACCTGTAATTTCAGCAACTCAGGAGGCTGAAGCAGGAGTTTAAGGCCAATGAGAGCTAATTCACTAAACTTCCCAAGAAAACTCAGCTGCTGCTTCCATCTTGATGTTTCTAATGCACTGAACATTATTTGCATGATATCTATTTTTTTTTGTTTTCTGCACTGTTTCAAGAGAATCTCTGATTCCTGGCTGTCTCATCACCCCTATCTAACTCTTAGATTCTGAGTTTAGAAACCAATATTCTCATTTTTACATTTTTATAGTGATAGTATTAACTTGCACACCAATAAGTCTGAGATCAATGGGTAGTCCTTTGAATTTACTTTAGTCAAACCATAAACATCCTCCATTTTCAGAGAAATGATCATGCAATAGATTTATTATTAAATTTATTTTTAGTTTAAGGCCATCCTCAGCAAGTTACAGAGACCTTGTCTCAAAATAAAAAATAAAAAAGGCTGGGAATGTAGCTCAGTGGTAAAGCACCTTGGGTTGAAAACCCAGTAGCCCTCCTTCCCCCCAAAAAGTGACAGAGATAACAACATGTAGGTATAACAAAAACTGTCCAAGTAACAGTTTAGACAGTTTTTACTAATTGGCATGTATAACTGAAGTTGCACATTCTTCTTTCAATAGACACTCAGCATTTGAGTTCTCAGGTGCAACAGTTCTTTTGTTTTATATATTAAAGGCCATTTTCTTACACTCAGATGGTGACTCAGACAGAACTCTTCTATCTATTGATCTGGATAAGGAGGCATTTATGTTATTCCCCCAGAGTGATTTGTTAAGAATAGCTATACAAGTTCAAATTCAAGCCTCTTATAAGTCACAGAACTGAATAGGAAATGATGATGCTGACCCTTTTTTGATTGTTTACCTATCCACTTTGTTACTCAACTTATATCACAGTCATACACAGAATATACTTGCCAAACAGTTTACTTTACTATTCCCTACATATTTTTATTATTTTGTTGTCCAGAATCAAATATTTCTGGATAAACAAGTTCTCAATGTTCCTTTTTTTTTTCATTCTAAAATAGACGGAACAGTTAGAAAGGATTAAAATTTAAATAACCAAATACCAATTAATGAGTATTTACCATGTAGCATGCACTAGATTGTTTTACATGCACTAAATTAGTATACCCAACAAACCTATAAGGTAATCATTAAGTACTTTGCACACAATTCAAATTTGCTCTCATCAGCTAGTCTAGTCTATCTACCTAGAGTAAAAAGTGAGTAAATGATCCTTTCTGCCTACCCATTACCACAGGGCTATTCATCCCTCACCTTGCATGGTCATTTCCCTGAGAATGGAGGATGTTTATGGCTTGACTAAAGTAAATTTAAAGGAAAATTCCTACATCATTCCTGTGATCCAACCAAATCCATCTACTGTCATTAACAACTCATTGATCTCAGACTTATTGGTGTGCCAGGTAATATTGTCACTATAAAAATGTAAAAATGAAAATATTGGATCCTAAATTTAGAATCTAAGAGTTAGATAGGGGTGATGAGGAAGCCAGGAATCTGAGATTCTCTTGAAACAGTGTAGGAAAAAAAATAGATAGTATGCAAATAATGTTCAGTGCTTTAGACACATCAAGATGGAAGCAGCAGCTTGGTTTTCTTGGGAAGTTTAGTGAAGGGGCTCTCATTGGAGAATGGCCTTCAGAGGAATGGGGCTGGGGAGTGGCTTTGTGAAAGCTTTCTGAATTCATTCCTTTGGACTGTCAGGTTGTGTGTTACTGAACTTGTTCCCACCTAGAATACTGGATGCACTTTAACCTTTCATCTGTGCTTTTGTACTAGAGAAATAGACCATTCTAAATCACCTCCTTCAACTTCATCCTGTGTTTCAACAGATCTAAGTGATCAGCCTAAGAGGATTGATGGTTCAAGTACAGGACTATTTGGATAAAGTCTTTCTTATACAATAAACTGAGGTAGACAAAATATACTTGACTTAGCAGAGCATACCAGATTGAGATTGATTAGCAAATCACTGGACATTTAGAGATTTATTGTTAAAGCAAGCTAGATTACTTTCTTTAGCACTTACTCTCTTTACTAGAAGTATCAAGGAACAGTGTTTGGCAATCATTTTTTCAAAGATAACACAAGTTAGGAATTACTTATTCAAATAAGTATTCAATGATCATTTAAATATTTAACATGTGTCTGCTCTTTGTATAAAATGTGCCAAACACTGGAGATATTCTTGTAGCTCAGGTCTTGGATCTGCACACAACTTTAGTTCTGTTAGAGGATGTTAAGCTTCCCATGACTATGCTCAATATAGGACTGGAGAGAAACACCACATTAAAGATAGACACAGCCAACACTGATAGCACCATGATGGGACAATTAAACCTGGCTGGAAGGATGAGCATTAAACTAGGCATCGAAAACCAGATGATGATAATAAGGAGAAAGAGAATGATGTGTGCGTTGGGGTGGGGGCAAAAGTAGAGATCAGGGAAGCCCAGAGCAGACATTGTGTACTTGAAGCATGAAGATCAGAAGGCAGCATGTCACAAAGCTGGGGAGTGTGGAACTTGACTGAGAAAATGACAATAGTCAGTTTTGGCTATAGCCTCAAGCCATAAAATCTTCAGACTTGTCAAACTGCAGATTCCCGACCTCTAGCCTTAAAATATCTAAATTTAGCAAATTTAAAATGAGGTCCATTTTATAGTTTGGATCTGAAATATACCCCAAATGCTCATGTGTTAAAGGATCATTTCCCAGTCCCTGGTATTACTGGAAGATAGTGGGACCTTTAAGAGGTGGGGCGAATGGGAGGTTCTGGTCCTGGGGGCATGCCCTTGAGGGGGATATTAGATCCCAGCCTCTCTGCTACCTCTCTTTTTGCTTCCTGACTCCTTCATATACAGCCTCATCATCGGCACCAGAGCAGCTTGGCCAATTGACCATCACAAAAATCCTCCAAAACTGTAAGCCAAAATAAACCTTCTTTTTAAAAAAATTAGTTTATTTTACTTAGGTACATATGACAGCAGAATGCATTTTGATTC